ATCAAAAAGACCCACTAGTCAACATAAAAATAGATGATAGATCTAATACTGGTATAAACATCCCAAACATGTTTGTCTGTGGACAAAATGTAAAAGCGATTACTGTAGAAAAAATACCTCGTGGATCAAATGCGAAAGCAGAGTTAATACCAAACTACCAGTCAAGAGAAAAAATGCAAATACTCGAGTCGGCAGGAGATTGGGTCACCGAGGATATGCTTAATGGTCCTTGCTTTCTTTTTCAGCCGAACGGAAATTTGTTATTTCAACCGTCAGCAACTGGAATAGATTATATCTCGATTAATGTTCTGGGAGATCTCAATAGTTCGGATTATGTTTTATTCGGACTATATAATAATGAACGTAATATTTCTCAAACAAGAACTTATCCTTTTAGAAGAGATTCAGTAAATTCGTTTACTTTTTCGATGGTAGAGAGAATTAAACTTTCTGGAGAATCGCAATCAGAGATCAATATTAATATGCAAAATAGCTTTTCTTTGAAATTTGAAGCTCAGAATATTGCCCTCAAATTCAATATTTATCCCAATCAATATAATGTACGTGAAAAAAAACACTTTTTTTCTAATTTATCTTCGATTTTGTTTCTAATATATTTACATATAGGTCATACGATTTACCGAACAGCAAGCATACACAACCTATGATTTAGTTAGTGCAATAGGAGGAGATCTAACTTTCGTGGTCACTAGCTATGTAATCCTCTTTGGAAGTGGTAAATATAAATCATGGGGAATAGTGCAACGATACTTTCTACGAAACGCACCAAATGCCAAAAAAGTTCCTCGAATGGAGCGAGTAAGAAAGTCGACGAATGATTCTTTTCCTTCAGAAAATTTTTTAAACAAGAATTCACCTCCACCATTTCTGAATGAACGCGTGCACTCTGAATATTATTTTTCCGAATCGAGGTCTGAGATAGCACGGAATGCTATGATAACAGGGGAAATAGTCGGTTCTCCAATGTCTGAAATTTCTTTCTCTAGGCAGGAGTTCAATGAAAGAGTAAACGCGTTGATTGATGAAAAGTTTTGGTTTTTAGAACAAACGTTAAGTCGTCATTATTTGGCTGGATTCCGATTGAAAAAATACGACGATTTGATAA